GAAAATCTAAAGTAATTAAGCTACGGTAAAATGAGCAACAAAAGCATTTCAACTTGTTTTGGAACATTACTGCAAAACGAGTTGAAAAGCCATGGTGCGGAGTATGAGGGTCACTGTTTAACCACACATAAATCAAATTAGTCTCCTGCAGGTTGCACTCAAACTTGTTGCAAAAAGTTCCTTTTAATTTATTTCGCACTGTGTATTGTCTTGGACGTGGCTGCATTGCAGTTTGTTGGTCGCTCAATATCGGTGTTTTTAACTTTTAACATTTTACTTTGCACTATATATTTGTGTTGGACGTGGCTGCATTGCAGTTGTTGGTCGCTCAATTTTTGGTGCTTTTTCTAACAATTCAACTATTAACCAATTTTCTTTGTTTTTTATATACCTACAACACTCTCATTTACACAGACCCTCCCTCCCCAACTTACCCACTATTTTAGTGGAGACTTGGGAACCCTTTCATTAGGGATTCCATACCACACCTGTAATGCCACAAAGGTTGCTAGAGAAACTACTATTTTTTTTTTTTCAAAGCCATGATGCGGAGTATGAGGGTCATTTAACCACGCATAAATCAAAGCAGTCTGCTGTAGGTTGCACTCAAACTTGTTGCAAAAAGTAGAACTACTCTCTGTTTTCTTCAACAACTTCTCGAAACTCCTGCAGCAAGCTAATTTGTTGTAAAACAATCAGTTTAACTCATGATCGGTAAAACGAGCAACATTGCTTTTCAACGCAGAACCTGTCTTATGGCCTTAACCCTTCACACCCTAAGATCAAAATTTGAATTGTCATTTGTTGCTCCTATTCATTTCCTACCAAAGTAGTGGGGAGAAGCTGATAAAATATCTAACAAATTCATTTTGTGCGATCATGTCCGTAATTCTCATGACCACTCTGTTTTATAAAGCATTGATATGACAAGGAGAAATTTGATGCTGATCAATCTTAGGGCTTAAAGGGTTAAGAGACTTTAAAGAAAGGGGGGTTTCGCATGATTTTACCTAGTTTTCCTGATCTGTTAACAAAAAATCTCGAGTCTCTATTTGAGCGCAGAAAATCTCGGGGATTGTTTGAGGGAATTGTTAACAATAACTCACTAACTTAATCACTCTTGGCACTATCAACATTCCAACACTAAGAGAGTTTAGAGCGTAAGTTTGGGTGACTAAATGTAAGAAAATAGACTTGCTGAGATCTCCAGCGATGATAATTTGATATTTGAATTATAATGGTCAGTTAAAAAGTTGTGTTTTTTGGAGTTGTTTTCCCCAAATAAAACTGTCACACTTAAACGTGTCACTTGATGTCAGCTCGACCAGTTTTATCCCCGGGGGGGGAGTACTCCCTATGATGGGCTATACGTGGAGGCTCGTTCCGAAAGCAGTATCTTTTTCAGGCTTTAGGTATGTGAAAGGGAAGGGATTTCACTAGTTGAAGTCAGTATAAAAGGGTAGGGAAATCTGTCATTTGGTTCTGTAAAAGGGCCCAAAAGGACTAACAGATGAATTTTATGACTTCATAAAGTCAAGAGAACGTTCTAGTTTTGTGATTGATTCCCATTTAAAAGACAGTGCATTTACAGCAGTTAAAAAAGAATACAAAGTTCTAAACAAGGTACGTGAAAGGGGTAGCATTTGCCAGTAGAAGTTATGCGAAAGGGGTGCGTTTTTCGTGAAAAATGGGACATAGTTTAAAGGGTGAGGATTTAGACCTCGTGACAGAGCCTGCCCGTATTACATGTAAACATTTGTTGAGTACCCCCCGAGCCTGCCCGTATAAACATTTGTTGAGTACTCCCCGGGTTTTTATCCCAACACCTCTTGCCTGTCTCAGTGTCTGTCGTACTGTTGCCAAAGACTAAGCAGGTTTCCTGCACTAACTTTTCAATCTGTAGCAGTTCTATTTTGGCGCTCCTTCAAAATATTGGAAAATAATAAAGGAGCCTTTTAAATTGACCTTTCTGTACTTAACCTAACTGATTCTTTCATGCCACGAGTAATTAGTTATAAACAAGGCAACTTTAATTAAGATGAATGATTGATCACAGCCAGAAGAAAGGAGAACAAGGTGACAGTGGAACAGGATTGGAAGTGTATTAAACTGTCAGCAAGCTTAGTGTAAAGAACGCCCAGTCATTAGAAAGAAAAAACGGCGGGCGAAACATATTGACTCAAGACTTTCTAATGTGCATTTTCCGTCGTTAGCATTAACCCCGACGTTAGATTATTGAATTCAAAGCATGTATAGGATGGTCTTCACATGTAGCGATGTTACAATAATAAAAAGGTTATGTTTACAACGAGATAATCACCTTAGGAATTGGAGTCTTGCGGAGTATCCAAGGGGTATCATCCAATCAAGACTACACGCGCGCGCAAATGTTGGAACTAAGGCTTTGATTGCAATCTTCTAACAAACATCTTTACGGAAAACGTCTTTCGGATAGAAAGAATAATAGCAATAAATGATGATGTTGATCACACCCTTACTCTATATAAACACCGGCTATAAACTCAGACTACCAGTACTTGATTGTTATTGACCTGTGCTCTGTAACTCCAGAATTAGCTAGAATTGAGAGACGCGTTGAGAGAGTTCAACTTTGATTAAACTGTGCTTTCACTTTTGGAGCACTGAAGGTAGCAAGCGAAAAGATGCCGCCGGTATTTTAGGGAAGGGATGATAGATTAGCCGCTCACAATATCTACACTTTCGGAACAAATCACGAAGATCCTTTCCAGAGTCATTAAGTAATTGTAGAGAATGACTTACCTCAACCGAAGTGTACTCCAAACATTCCTTTAAGCGAGATTTGGAAGGAATATAATCTCTACAGTGCAACCCTGATTTATACTTTACCAAACGTGAGGTAGACGCGATCGTTCTTTCCTCTGCAAGCTCATGCTTACAGCAATAAGGGTTTCTATCTGCTTATCTTATCTTAAATACAGCCACAAGAGAATATTGGAAGTGGAGTCATGCAGACAGAGGGGTATTTTACGAAGAGAGTACAGTAATGACAGACAAGAGTGCCAATAATCGTGCCCCGACAACCTATCCCTATCTGATCACTGGATTTTTTTTTTAATTTTTACCAGAAATTTCTTTTTCTTGCCCAATTAAATCTCTTTAATACAACATCCAGTAGAAAAACATGGACACTCAGATAACGTTGGACGCATAAATTGCGCGCAGAAACACAAGTGGCTTAGCGACCCTTAGAGGTACAGGAAACAAGTATTGGAGCTCGTTCTTCAAACTGACAAAATAGCTGGCAAAGAGGTTTCTGTCCTTGCTGTGAGAGAAACATACGGCAGAGCGTTTGTACATCGTTTGCGACTTCTATTGAAATACAACAGGCATGAATAATGTCTACTGTCATTCACTAAGGAGATCAAATGGCGGAGAATGTAATTCTCTAATTTACAACCTCTCTCGATAAGCCTTTCAGCCCGGATGTAGATACTCACCAGCTGACTTACACAGTTACAAGACTTGAAATGTTTCGTTATCATAATAAGAGATAGAGGCAAGAATGTGAAACGCTTTGAGATCATAGATTTTACTCCGGCTGCCTATTTAAACGTCGTAGGTTTGACTGGGTGAGAGCAAAGTCAGGCAGGCTTTACAGATCTTTTTTTCTGTTTACACAATAAACTGACACAACCTTTTAATGTATCGCCTCCTTAAGTCGTTAAAACATTGATCAGGTTTTTCCTTATGTTCGTGATGTAATTCGCTCCCTCTATGGCGTCATCACGGACGTCACTTGCTTCCATCCATTCTGTGTAGGAGACAAGCGACGACACTGGAAACTAGCCAGACTGTTTTGGGAGTCACTGCACTGTGCATGTACGTACAGCGTTGTTCATTGGAAAAAATGTGCACCGATTTATGAGATACTGCATCGGCTAAATACAACAATGAATCCAGTGTAGGTCTTGTTTACAAAACGCTGACCAGTGTGAGCCCGTGTAAGCCAGACCATTGAACATATTAAACGCTGCTAAACCAGAATAGAGGGATGGGCTCTTTTGCAATCAACAAGTTCCAACGTTTTAAACGAAGGCATTAAATTTTGTTCCCTATTCATTGAACGATCTGCCACTCGCGGATTGTTTAGCAGGAAATGTAATTGTTGAAATGTTTACCCAGAAAAATTGTTTTTGCTTTAATAAAAGAAAGAGCTTTAAAAGTGGTAATTTTTGTGTGACAAGACCACAGGTTTAAGGCTTGACAGGTCCGTGGACTGCACACCAAAGTGTGGAACAGAACCTATTCGATATTTAAGACAGGGGCACCCAACGAGGATATAGTTCAAAACCACTTAACATAGCATTGTTGAACGTATTTTAGTATTTAAACGGTAGATATAGGCATATTTTTATCCCCTAAAAACTTTTCATCTGTTCGGATTTCCTTATCCGTGTAAAATGGGTAATTATACCATTTTGTAGATGTTCGAAAATCCTAGGAGAGGCAGGCAAGCAAGAAATTTTACAACAAATGCTCCGAAAATTCTAGATCTCAAATCGTCTTCCGAACAGATATCTTCCCGAAAATTGCCGTTGGGTGCCCCTGTTAAGATCGGCGTGACGCAGCTTCGCTTCGTTACAGATATCGCGACGAAATCACTGTTCTCAGTTGTGAACAGATGCCATAGTCTGGTATAGTTTTCCTGCCGGCGCAAGAGCTATCCGTTACACTAGTGTGAACATAGCATTAGGCTCAACACACACCAAAAAAAATAATTAAAATACAATTAAAAACAGACTTACCGACTATTGAGTCGAGCAAAGAAAAGGGGCGGGTATATCCATTATAAAATTTAACATTTGTGGGCTTCACACTAGAGGCGAAGTTAGTTTCAAGTAAGCATTTGATTAGAGTGTACTTGGAAATCTTAAGTCGCTTTGTCGAAAACATGGCTTCACACTTGTTGACAAAGTCTATTACTTGAAGTAAAAGCTGTCAATCTCCCCGGTTATTAGAATCTTGGAACCGCTGCCCGTGCCCATCGTGCACATGGCGTCCATTTCTTATTGGTCCAGTGTGTTCTCAAGTGTGGTGTATACCATACTTTGGGGCCAACTTCGGCCTCTTTGAACTACGGATTTGAACGTTTCCATGGTCACCAGGTATAGTTGAAGTGGGTACATTTTACCCTTTCACATTCAAAGTAGGTTCCAAGAACCCTAACATTATTCTTGAAAGTTCTAGTGTGAAGCCAGCATTTATGGTCTTGGTACTAACCAGGAAGTAGACAAAACAACATGTTATTTTTTCCTCAAACTGCGGTTCGTTTTTTTTTAGCAAAAGCGCTACGCTGTGAGTTAGTTCCAAACAATTGAATGCCGACTACTGGACGTTTCTCTTGCTGATTTGATCTGCCCGAAAGGAACGCTATTGTTATCCACTTAACAGCGGAAAACTTTGATCTTGGAAAAGCATATCGTAAACAACAAAGCCGGCAAGTTCTTAGGATATTACTTTGGCACCGTTATGAGGCTTCAAATAGGTTGGAAGTATCATGGCAACACTGGAATACATATACCGGAAAGAGAAGTCGCCGCGGATTCCGTGTAAAGTTTGGTGACATTATTATTTAGTCTCCCTTTATGATCAAAAGAACCCGGGGGGTACTCCTGGGAATTCTTGGTGGTGGTGGCCGCCCGGTTCTCCAATCCTGGCCCTATTTCAGACCAAATAATGTCATTTTTCACACCAGTTTTCAGACCTGAACTGTAAAATCCATACCCGTTTTCAGGCCCAGCATCTAAGAATTTATGTCATCATTACCTTGATTAGAACAGCAACAAAAAAGATTTCTTAAATTCCATTTCGAATCCGCATAGTTCTCTTTCTCTCTTATTCATTTGAAATTAAAACGATAAATACCTCCATACACTCCCGTAATTCCCTCGAAAACCATACCCCATTCCACACCAAAATGGGCAAAGTCTATACCTTTTTTCAGACCAAAACGGCGTAAAAACCATACTGTTTGGGACGGCACATGCCTATATAGCTTATATAAGGGAGTACCTTCCCCCCGGGTAAAAGAGGCAGTTTGGCGCCTGATAACATCAGGGGCACCCAACGAGGATATAGTTCAAAACCACTTAACAAAGCATTGTTGAATGATTTTAGTATTCAAACGGTAGATATAGGCATATTTTTATCCCCTAAAAACTTTTTACCTGTTCGGATTTCCTAGCTGAAAGTCTAGTGATCCGAAAATTATAGGGATAAAAACTTACCTTCTCGAAAATTTCAGCCAGGAAAAGGCTCCCGAAAAATTCTAGGTGGCCTTTTTTAGGGTCAAAATGCGTTAAAAATAGGTAATTATACCATTTTGTAGATGTTCGAAAATCCTAGGAGAGGCAGGCAAGCAAGAAATTTTACAACAAATGCTCCGAAAATTCTAGATCTCAAATCTTCTTCCGAACAGATATCTTCCCGAAAATTGCCGTTGGGTGCCCCTGATAACATCAACCGTAAACGTCCGCTTACAAGCCTCAGTTATAGCCCATGATCTGATAACAAAAAAATACATCCGGTTATAAACTAACCCCCCCCCCCTGCCCCCGTGTATATACCCCTCTAGCTTGAACTAAAAATGAATTCGATTTTTAAAGACTTTCTGAAGCTTAAAAAAGCGAGTAAATTCACAAAGTATTCTGATCATCACTGCTATGTAGCTTGTCTTGAAACGCTTTTAAGTCCGGTTATCAACTCTCCGGGATATAGGCGCTCTCCTAAAACCCCATACGAAGTTGTGTAAGCTCAGGGATTATAAACGGAAGTGTACAGATGGTACAGATCATCACAAAGAAGAATTTGGTGTTTTCTTATTTTAGAAGCAATTTAATACCATAATGACATTTCTATGAAATCTTTCATTATCAATAACACCATCATCATCGTCATCACTATCATTTCGTCATCATCAGCATCAACATCGTTAATTAAAATAATGATAATAACAGTATTAATAGGGGTGGTAATACCAATATAAAAGTTAACTTGAAATAAGAATGTAACAAGTACATTTATGATACTTAAAATTGTCATCATTCTACTATTTCATTACAATTCATCGACAGCAATAATTAGTTTAACTTGGTGACAAGCGCCTTTTTCCGTTTCGCCGGTTTATTTACTGTTAAGCTCATCCTTGACTCAGAAAACATTAATTTAAGACTATTTAGACAACGTCGTGTAATAATTCCAGGCGTATTAAAACAAATATAAAAATAGTGTAAGTAATTCAAGTTCCTATATATTAAGCGAAATTAAAAAGCTAATTTGAAAACTGAAACTTTACCGACGAAATATTTTGCTGACCTTGTTTTCATGATTACTAGTTGGTTGTAAAACATTGACGAAGCTAAATTTTAAATTTTCTTTAGCATGAAATGCCACCGAACTCGTTAATGTTGCTGTTTTTTGTAGGAACATTTTGTTCTTCAAGGCAATTAGCCTGAATAAGGTGTAGAGTATGACTGGACTTTTGTACTCAAAACAGCTGTTTGCGTGTACGTTTGTCCTTCGAATCCGTCGCGTTTTATGCAATATTACATGGTCATGCAAACGGAAATTGAACACTGTAAGTCATTGTTTACACCATGCAAGAGCCCGATTGCACTATCTTATTGACAAGGCGAGGGGGTAGGTGATCAACCTTCGCCGATTTACACAATTATTGTTACCTGAAATTTTTGCCGTCTCTTGGATTGCCTGTGACGATCTTCCTTACCATCTATCAAGCTGACATGTCTTGTCAGCTCTTAGTGAAATTCTTTTCTTGTGGCTACCAGTTATTCGCTACGGAGCACAAGTATGTAGGCCTTAGGGTGAAATTATCATTCTGTACACCCTCGGCTTTTGGCCATATATAGTCTTAAGTAATCAACCTGTGCGGTGTGCGTAAAAACATTTAGAGTAGTAAAAGGCAACAGAAAAGTAAAATAAAACACGAGTCTTACGAATGGTGGTATTGCAAAGCCAATTTTTAATCTTGAAGCTTGAAATCTGCATTTTTGTAACCGCTGTTACTCCAACCAGAAACCACGAACAGGGGAGTTACATGATTAATAGCCCAACTTGCTTTGTTCCTTTTTTTTAAGATGTTTTTGACGGAGCTATTTAACGGAAGAAGGACAAAATTAAAACAGCGTATCATCGAGAATAATAGGAATCTGAAGAATCCTCAATGTATTTTTGTTATTCTTGACGTCAAAATGCGTGAATCAAGAATCTTGGATTTAAACAGGTGCACGAACTGGGTTTAATTTACTTTTTACATAAAAGCTTTTATGCATCTTGGTTGATTATATTTTGTTTGTCATTTTGTGTTTTATATTAGTCAACTTTTATTAACCGCAATAAGTCATTATCTAAGGTTGGTTTTTCATAGACTGACTGACATTAGTTTCTGTCAAAATTGTAAAATATTGTTTATACTGAACTACCCGATGAACCGCCGTCCAGATGAAAATTGAGCTGAAAACTGATATTGTTCCGCAAGGTATTGATTTTAAAACTGTTTTTCTGCTGATTTATCAGAAAGCACTCGGTTGCACTCTCTCATTTTCAATATTACGGAAAGTTTGGCTTTATTTCGAGAATGTGTCGGTGACTTCTCAAAGGAAGCTATGTTTTTCGCGCGACGCTACTACACACTGTTTTGATCGTTTGGCGCGAAAATACCAGCTGTGGCTTAGACACTGACGCAAGGACAAAACATTTTATAAGAAGGGTACTTAAGAACTGTCAAAGCACCTCGGCATTAATGGACTTGAATGTCGTTTGAACGTTTAAAAACTTAAAAATACGCAATGAAAAGCATCACAAAGAAAAGGTTACGCTGTTTAAACAAAACTGAACCAATGTAAACGTTTGCCGGAGATCTTTTTTGTGTAAATTTCTCTGGGCGACAAAGCACGCGTAAATTAGTACAGAGCAAGAGACTGAGTCCGGCCGTAATGACGAAGACTTCAATAAACGGATCACGGCTAACCATGATATTGAAACCATATCATAAAAAGATATCTGACTATAATTGTTACCAAGTTTAATATGATAGCGGGATGAGTCGTTTGGCTCCTACTTAATTTCCTGCATGGAATAATTAGTTGATTAGTGAATCAAAACATCGCTGTCATCGGCTTGCTTGGAACTCTCTCTTATTTTTACTATCATTTGAATATGTGAACCGTCCATAATAATCGATTGGGACATTTCTAACATGTCAAGAATTAAATAACTCTCAGCTAGCAGGAAGATAAATAAGAGACTGGCAGCAATTCCTTTGTTTTCAAGCTTTCAAACAAACGCGCTTAAAGCCCGAGTTAAGATTACTACATAAGTGGCTTTCAATCGACCTGATAAGCCATGTGAAGTAGCAGAATTGTGGATGATAAATAGGATTTCCCGTGATTTCTTAACATTAAAGATACCCAAATTGTAATTATGAAGTAGTTTTACAGAGCGATCGGTTCCCCGTCAGCTGAGTAATAGGCTGCCTTATAAACTTTAAGTACTGTATATCTTCGCTGATTGCAATTTGTTTGAAAAACATCCATTACAAATACCACCTTTAGCCATAACCAGATGTGATCACTAAAATTACCCACCTGACAGAAATAACTCTTCGACGAGTGTGGAAGGAGGGCAAAGCTATCTCCAGCTTAGGACTCAAAGCGACCGGTCATGACAGCGCGCGGCAGCTGGTCAGAGAAGATACCTGGCGAAACAAAATGTTTTATTTACGTTTGATCAAATTAAGCCTCATGAATTTTTAAAAAATAAACTAAATGAAAGATAACGCTTTTGAGCTGCGGTGGATGTAATTAATGAAAAAATATCTTTCTTTTAGGAATAATAATCAAATATGAAATACAATCAACTTTTCATAACTAACTTTGAAGCCGAACCGCATCTTGCTCTATTAACCATACTTTTGCAGCTAGAAGCCATAACATTCCAAACGGAAACTAAAACTTGTCTTCACGTTCGCCGCGTGCCTTCTAGCGATGCAATCCCCAGCCTGCAAAACTATTATCAAGGCCGATATGTCAACAACAAACCAAAAATAGTCGATCGTGCCTGAAGCAAAAGTCACTTCTGTTAATAATGTTTTAAGTCACACACGACTTATTTTGATGACACGTTACTTTAGACGTGTTTGGCAAATGACAAAAGATCCACCGCTCCAGTGGTCGGATGTTTATTTAATAATATATTTAATTTCTCTTAAAAACAGAAAGACGGTCATTATGTCATTGTTAGAGCGAGCTGACGTACCCTTACTCAGAAAGAAGCTTTCCGGTAGGTGGTGGTAGCTAAATGGCCATGTCGCACTTGTAAGTTTGTTACCGCTCATGTACTGATGTTTTATGACAGAAGTCGAACTGCTTAAGCGGCAAATTGTTATTTTCATTAAGTGTCTTTATTAGTGGCAATCTTGTCGCGCGATTTGAATATTCAGCATTTTTCATGAACTCTTGGCCCTCTTCAGTTTCAAAAGCGCTTCATCACCGTTTTCACTTGTCAAACACTGATAAAAACCATTTATACTGAAG